GTGTGTTCAAAATGTGAAAAAAAATAAAATAAAAGAATCAACTTGCTGGCATAGTGATGGGCTTTGCTTTGTTCTCTCTTCCTTTCCCAGAAATTCTGTGTTTGATACATTTTATTTCAATGCTATTCAGCATTAAGCTGAGATTTTCATAGTGCTCTTTACTGTAACCCCAGAATAGTTAGCTTATGATTACTCACTCTACATATAAATGTATTACTGTTTTATCCCATGAGCAAACTACATTTATGTTCAATTTTTTTCTGGCAGTTTATTGGCCAGTCACTCAGTAATGCAAGATCCTTCACAACACTTTAAAGTCAGCTCTCATCTTTATCTCCCTACAATACTTACTATTACCAGCAAAGTTTACACTCTTAAAATTCTCTCTCTTTTCTGGATTGTTAATAAACATTTTAAAATAGCACAGAACACAGTATGGATCTCTAAGGAATTTTCCTGGAGCTCTCTATCCACTCTGAAAATTGAGTGTTTAGTCCTTAACATTTTTTCTTATGTTTAACTGGTTATTTATTCATGTAGGTTTCTTCCTCTAATCTTATGGTAACTTAATTTCTTTCAAATTCTTCAGCAAAGGACTCAATCAAATACTTCTGGAAACCTAAGCTCACTTTATCAGCTGAGTGTCTCCTGATGTCCTCAAGGAGCCTTTTTTTTTTTAAGGCATAGCATACTACAAAGGGGGATCTTTACTCTTTGTTTTCTTTTCACTAGTTGTATTTTTTAGAATAGCTTTTAACAATTTTCATACAAGGATGAAAGATGTTAGGTCTGAAGCTCCTCAGATCTTTCCTAGAAAAGTGGTGTTACACTGACTCCATGTCAGTTCTCTGCTACTTTTCAAGCCTCCAGCAGATCTGCTATAGTCAATGTGACTATCAAAACATGCTGATGATAGATGAGAATTTTCCTGTATTTTCTCATTTTTTACTAACACCTAAGCCTCAAGGAGTGAAAATTTACAGCACCATATTTTGTAACTCAGCCCCATCTCTATTAATATTCAAGTCATGTGAGGCTTGAACATTTTTTATGCCTTGTGGAAGAGCCTTTCCCAGAAAACTTCCTTCCTTATAAGAAAATGTGATCTCAAAGACCCAATACATCAACATTTCTGTTACTAGCCTCTGTTTTTGTTCACTCTCTCTAGCAAATATAAATTGCTGTGCCTACAGAAATAGATGGGTACTTCTGGTGCAAATCCACTGTGTAAATCTGAGTTCTTCCTGAATTCCTCCTTAGACTGCACATAGGAAAATGCATCCTGCTGGCTCAGAAAGAGCTGAACCAGGATCAGGAGCAATTAGGACATCATCACAGGACAGGGGAAGAGTGGAAGCTTCCCTGGAACATGCAGAGGTATGATGTTAATGTGTCTGCTGTTCTTTCATGTTAGCTCTCTTACCTCTCTTTTCTAGGAAGCATTTTTCTTTACTGCTTTTCATCCTCCCTTTTCCTTGTGGTGCATGAGAAAGAAAAAAAAGGAAACATGGTCATATGCTCCATATATCTTTTCCCTTTTACCCACCACAGTGGTCACTGGAAATAGAGGAGTCTTGGCCATTCTTGCACTCCACCCCAGCTAGGAGCAAGTGGTTTAGTTCCTCGGCAAGGTAATCAGTATGAGTGCCTTATTCCAACCTCATCTTCCCTCCTCAGCTAGGATTTCCTCTGATGTTAAGGGAATAGGCCTACTGCCAGTTTTCTGTAGTGAAAGGGATCTTTTCCATATGGTGAATTTAACAACTGCTGTGTGGGATTTTTCACCTCCTACCAAGCATCCATGACGGCTGGCTTTGGGAAGTTTAAGCTGCAGCAATAACAACTTCTGGAGTTTTTTAATGTGATTTGTGGCTCTGAAATTCAGACAAATTAAGCCATGTAACTCTTCTGCACTGCTAGGCATTTCCAGGAGAATGCATGCTTCTAGGTAGCACACCTTGTGGTTCCTTCCCCCTATGCTCTGCCCTTTTCAGTTCATGTGGAAAAGCACCAGGACTTTCAGAAAGGGCTCTGATAGGCCTGAGAATGCACAGCATGTACCCTCACCAGGTCCACCATACACTGGTTGATGTTGGTACCAAGTGAGGTCCACATGGGCACAGCCCTACCTGGCTGTTTAGAAATGTTTTATTCCAAGTTTGTAGGTCTTGAGCTAGTCAAGATGTCTGTGACTTACCACATGGATACATATCTCAGTAGGTATTTGAAGTACAAAGTATAATTCCTTTGTGATGGAAAGGCAAAGCTATCTATAGTAGTCCTAGGAAGAGCAAAACTATGACCTTTTACAACCTGAATCAAGTCAGTGACTTGTATCTTGAAATGTAAATACTATGTACTCCACACAACACCCCACAGGCCTCTAAACATCCATTAAGAGCAAAAGCTATAATAATGCCAGCAAAAATACACAAATTATTCCTAATACCTCTAGTGAGAAATTCAACTTTGACCTTCTCCTCACAGTAAAGCTGTGAAGTCTATGACTCCTCTGTATCTTAAAAAAATTTCAGTGCAATATCCCTTAATTTTAAGTCTCAAAGGAGATCTACAGCAATTTTGGATATTACGGTCAATTCCTCTCAGTAACCAGATTACAAAGTCTACTATTAGTGCATACTAATAGTGCATACTATGCACTAATAGTGCATACTAAAAGAGAGGAAAAAGATTCATATAAATAAATATTGTTCACAGTCTGTAGATGAAACCTATTATTAAAACCAGAACTGGTTCAACACATAAGCTTGGTACATAGGACCCCACTTCAGGGATCACTTTGGCAAATTAATCAAACCTCTCCATGTAAACTACCCAAATAACTGGTATTGCTATTGCAAATCTATTTCTCTTCACCTTATAAATTAATGAAATCTTTTTGAACATTGCATTTTTCTGCACCCAAATTTATTTACAGCAGCAAAGCACTCACGTATGCCTGTTAAGATTGTATTTTCCTTCCTCTGTAACCCCTTATTTTCTCTTAGCCTTACAGAGTAAATTAAACCGAATTCTGTTTTGATACCTAAATGTTTTTTAAAAATTAAAAAAAAATAAACCCAAGAACTCACAAACACCAAAATCAAACAAAACCAGCAGCCTCATTTCATTCTTCTATGGTAGGAAAAGAAAAGCAGAATATTAAAAAAAACTAATTACACCATTACAGGAAATTAAAGGAAAACCAACACAAAAACAACACAAAGACAACCACCAATGAAACTCCCACAATGCTATAAAAATAGTTGGTTACCAGTCTGGGATCCAGTGATCTGTTCTCACACACCCTCTAGCATGGCTACTCCTGACAGGTGTTCCTGGGACATTCTGAACAAAATGTTGAATAAAAATATATCTTTAACAGTTTCAGCCCTGAAAAGCTGCTCTCTGCTGAGTAACTGTCAGAGAGACTGTCAGCAACATTCCGCAAGCAGCAGAACAAACATTAAGACAAGAAGAGTTTTCAGCTTAGTTCTGGGGTCCAAGAGTACTTGATGTTTCTAGCAGAAGAGGTTTCTCAATTCAACGCATCATGACACTGATATCTGAATCACAGATTCCATGTCACAGCTGACAATCTGGCATCCTATGTACATTCCCTAGAGTCATGCAGGAGTGCAAACTCATTTCTGTTGAGCTAGGAGGCCAAAAAGTTACTTTTAAGACTTCAGTATACTAATATAGCAATACTGAAAAATATTCAATTTGGCATCTTCTTCCAAGATCCCAGTTCTTTCTTGCAGTACAAATTTCTCAGACATTTGCTTGTTTGTGATGGACTTCTGTTAGCCCAGCAGAGAATGACAATTTTTATACAAACTATTTCATAAGTGCCTGTCAAAGCCCTTTATTTGTACTGCTGTGACCTCCTGCACATGCTCAGATCTGAAATAATTTGCATACTCAGGTTTTTCATTGACTTGCTTACTTTATTATCATCTATAATCACCAGTTACAGTTTTAGGAAGCTATAGAAAGACTCCTTGACAACTGTGTCCATCACCTTCTTAGTGAACTCTCAGTTCACATTTTTCTACAGAGAAGTATTTTACCATTTTCAATGGTTGCTCTTTTCAAGCTTGCTCTTCCCAGTGCAAATGTTAAAGAGATTACTACTCCTTGCTTTACCAGCACAACAAGACGTACTGACACTAGCAATATTCACAGTTCCCAGCACAGACAATGGCCAGATTGTAGCTATTGTCAAATACATGAATAGAAAATTTTAGCACTAAGTTCTCCTCCAAGGTTTTATAATTTTCAGCTTTCTCTGCCACTTCCTACTGAATAAATTTTGTAGACTTTTGCTAACGTAAAAGTGATTATTTTTTTCTGCACAGTTTTCATTACTGATCATGAGTGAGTTCTACTTGGCTAAATTCATATTTCATAGGTAAACTAATTTCTTGACTATGCCACAAACAGTAATTTTTTCCAGCCACATTTTGGCCGAAAAGCACATCAATACATCATACAATCAGGTATCTCCTCGGTGAATTAAATATTAAAGTGGGACTTGTGACATTAGTGTTAGTTCTTTTGCCTCATAATCTAAAGCACTGTAAATACTGCATGTCCCAAATGTGGCCTAGTCTACTGAACATGAACTGATGACTTTATGCATTTCCCATCTGTGGTAGGCTGGCCCCAGTAATCTGCTAAGCCCCCACCCATCTACTCGCTCACTTGCCACTTCCAAATTTCCCCACTGCCATTCCAAACCAGTCTGAGGCCTTAGAAAGGGATAGTCATCCTATTTTGTATCATGATATTGAGATCAAATGAGTATTACATGAGAACAGCTTTTATCAGTGCTGAATGTCCCTCCACAGCAGGTAGTAAAGAGAACAGACTTCCAGGCAATGATTACGTGCTTAAATATTTTTATACCTGATGTGTACGTTTAAACACCAGGAATAAGAAAAAAACCTCTGATTGTCTTCATGTCATAATATATTCAGAACACTCACTTATTTTACTCATAACTGAACCATGGAGGCAATAACTTCAAGACATATGTAGGCTCTGGGATTTCTAGCTCTATCCATTTGAGATAATGATTGAGGAGAATTTTACTTTCCACCTCGTTGTTCTTATCCACTGGAACAGTAGCTGAAAACCATTTATGCCAGCTAGCTGGTGTCATTGCTCCCAACTTTGATTACTACCTTCTAGACAGATATTCCCCAGATTCAAAAAAGCTCTAACAAAACACTATCCTCATATTGAAGTTAACTTTAAGTACAGGGGTTTTTTACCTAATGCAGCCAATTGATTATAAGATGTATCTTTCACATTTGGATTAAGAATGAAAAGAACACATATTCCTTGTATGATCAAATTCATTTCACAGCAACAATTATGACTGTAAAATACATCTTTAAATATGATCTTAAATACAAAATTATTCACAACAGAATTGAC